GATTTCCATAGAGTTGATGTGATACAGCCCTAAAAAAGCAATCACCACCTCCTCCAACATCAAGTGCAGTTCTGCCTAACTGAGACAATCTGAATTCTGCTAAACAGACAGAATTTGTAGGTGATATAAAAGGTACTGATTTGCAATACTCCGTGATATGATTCTGCTCGAAAAATGATACGTTTTCATTTGGAGCTGCCTTAATTTTCTGAAAATATTACCTTCAGCTATCATACAAAACAAAGGCAAGTTTTTATGTTTTGGAGTCCTTGTTCGAAAAATGCACAAGCTTAAACTTTGTCTAATGAAATACTTCTTTGAGAAAATAATGAATTTTGAACTTCTATATCGCTCTAAGAAATGACAACAATCGTATCCACACAACATAGCCTTCAGCTTGGAGGATTTCATGGCATTAATATCTTTATGTATAATTTCACCAACATTCACTGACAATTACTTGACAACTGGACTGGTATTTTACTTTGATTGTCAAACTGCTCGGGTATTGTAGGATTACCTTCGATAATCATTTGCTCCTGACCTCGGTGTATTTCAGGTGGTATTCAGGTGACAGATCACATGTTTGGCATTTGTTTGTTGTTTGATATTTTGTATTTCTTATGGTATTTGTTATTTGGTGTATATTGTGTTTAGCATTTGTTTGGCAGTTGTGTTCAATCTCTCTAGTTTATCGCAGTTATGGCATTTAAGTCCCAGCGAGAGTGGAACTTGACGAAAGCTTCATCAATGTCCTTTGTCATGTGACATTTTCCGAACAGCTTCCCAGTGAATTGCAAAATATTAAAAGTGCATTTAATTTTAAATCATACGTCCAGCGAGTATTTTTAGAAAATTCAAAATGCAATACAGTAGAAGGAGGGCAGCTTACCTTTTCCCCCAGACCATAAAGCATTCATTCCAAATAGTTCGTTTTGTGCATTCTATTCCTCGTCGTCCAAATGTGTACAAATGTATCTTGGAGACATCGTAACTTTTAAGACTTTGAAACCCATTTCTTTCCACTCAAGCTTTCTTGAGCACATTTCCAGTTCGTTTGTGAGGTCTTCAAAAGTGTATTTTGATCAAAGATGGAGCGAAAGGAAGGAAAACTCGCCTTGACAATTTTTGCGTTGGGCTCAACAGAACAGACGCCATTTTGTAAACATGTACCACCCCCTTCCCCCACATATATGAACATAAACCAATGACACGACTTTGTGGGCAAAACCAAACCTAGTATGGGAGACAGGGGGAAACGTGTTTAAATCATGTTTAATGCGGATTTAATGCATAAATTAATTGTCTTACAGGAATGGAGTGACCAATCCAACCATCACTATACCTCATGGTATGAAGTACATACCATGAGAGAAAAATTAGAAAATTAAAAAAAAAAATTAAGCATTTCAATAACCTTCCAAGCAGATGGGCTTAGAGGGTAGATCGTAGATCGTTGAGCGTAGATCAAAGAGAGTAGCTGGTAGAGTGTAGATGGGCTTAGAGGGTAGATGGTAGATCATAGAGCGTAGAGAGTAGCATGGTAGAATATAGAGGCTAGATGGTAGATCATAGGGCATAGATTGAAGAGAGTAGCTGGTAGAACATAGAGAGTAGAATGTAGATGGTAGAACATACAGCATAGAGGGTAAACTAAATACAGAATTGTACATTAAAAGGATTATTAGAATACTGTAAACCGTAATAACACTTAAATTACACTTTAATGTATATGAGATAATAGAGAAAGCCAGTAAATGACAATTACAAAAATTACAGCATGGCAGATGATCGAGAAACTTGCACTCACAACCCAATATTTTTTATCACTCTATTGGTTTTTTAAGCCTCTAAGCTAGTGTAGAGAGTAGTTAAAAATTTTTGAACTGATAAACTCCTAAATACATGGAGCGTAGAGTGTAGATGGTGGAACATGGAGTGTAAGAGCTTTAAGAGCATAGCTCATTGACTGTAGATGGAAGAACACACAGCATAGAGCGTAGAACGTAGTCAGGGTAAACTCAATACTGAATTGTAAATTGAAAACAATTATTAAAACACTGCAATCCATAATAACACTCAATATTCCCTAAGCGATATAATATTTCCTACAATAACTATACGCCACTACACCTCTTTGGTGTACGCATATCTGAGAGAAACGAGGCTTTAAACATTCAAAATACTACCACAGAGTTGTAGAGCTCTGCAAAAATTTCAACGCCTAATCAAGTTTTCTAAAACGGGCTGGGTATACTGCATTCATATGGAAGTACGGGGTCATGGATCACTGTGAGTGTAGAATTGGATCCATCGATAGCTTTGACGGCTTTTAATAATTATCATGTAAAGTTTTAGTGAAGAATTATTATTGTTAAAAAAATTATTACAATTATTGTTGTTGTTGTTGTTGTTGTTGTTGTTGTTGTTATTTTTAGTAATACTATGATGTGAAGCATTTCAAAAAGTTATGTGAATTGTTAAAATATGTTTTTACTGTAGATTCTGGCTATGCTTGGAGAGCAGTTTATGGTTGGGAGTGAGGTTTGTGGTGCAGTGATTTCTGTGCGATTTCAGGTAGGTCACTGGCTAATTTTGACTGGCAGAATAACAGTTAAACCCCTAGTAGTATCAATGTAGATGTAGATAGTGAAGGTACATGACCGTTGTATCCTATAACAGACTAGTTAACGGCACATAGCAGCTTGACTTGTCAACTGACTTTCGTATGGTCAAACATGCTATAACAACAATGACAACATTTGTTTGTAAAAGATACCATGGGTTTGTTACAGGCAGGGGATGGTGGTGCTATGGAAGATAGCATGGGTTTGTAACAGGCAGGGGGTGGTGTGGCTATAGAAGATACCATGGGTTTGTGACAGGCAGGGGGTGGGTGGCTATAGGAGATACCATGGGTTTGTGACAAGGGGTGGCTGGGCTACAGATGATACCATGGGTTTGTTATGGGCAGGGGGTGGTGGGGCTACAGGAAATACCATGGGTTTGTAACAGGCAGGTGGTTGCTGGGGCTATAGAAGATACCATGAGTTTATTACAGGGGTTGGTGAGGCTATAGAACATACCATGAGTTTGTAACAGGGGGTGGTGGGATTATGGAAGATACCATGAGTTTGTAACAGGGGGTGGTGGGGCTACAGAACATACCATGAGTTTGTAACAGGTGGTGGTGGGGCTATAGAAGATACCATGAGTTTATACCAGGGGGTGGTGGGGCTATAGAACATACCATGAGTTTGTAACAGGGGGTGGTGGGGCTAT